AATAGTAATGACAAGTCAACTATTGTTAAATCTAAAGCGGATTTAGTAACTAGTGTAATACGTCACCATCGTCTGAGCGTACCTTTTACTCAAGTACCACCTGAGGATGACGACAAAAATATTAAAAAAGTAACAAAGGATAATTATAATTTCATTTAGGATTTATTAATATATTATAATTTTTACAGGGAAAGTATGGAAAACTACCCATTTCTGGATCGAAGTACGTACTCAATGTCAAGGGAGACGGTAATGTTCCACTTTCACTCCCTAGAGCTGCGGGAGCAAAAAGAAAAAGAGTATTGACTGAGACCAGCGACAGAAAACTTAAAAAAGTAATAAAGATGAATTATTATTTTTTTCAGTATGTACGAGTATATATTAATATATTGTAATTTTGATAGGAAAAGTATGAAAAACTATCCAATGTGGGTTCAACGAATCAACGTGATGTCGCGGAAGACGGTAATGTCTCTCCTTACTTCTCGCCACCCCCTCCCCCCAAACACATCGTCCAATTAGAGGTAGTGTTCGGTGGGCCAGTGGGACACTACTATCTCCAAGGAGAAATCAAAATTATTTAAGCAAAGTGCTGCACTTAATGCACTAAGTGTGAACGGGATATGATCTGGTGTGTTTAATTTTGATCCATTGCATGTTGAATATTTATATTTACGTTATTTTGAGTATATTAATCAAACATACCTAGTATGTATAGATACCAAGTAATCGGAGAGCAGATTACAAATGGAAAATTAAAAATAAATATATTCCAATTTTGAAGCAATTATGGCTAGTGAATACCAGGGAATGAAATTTACGTATAATATATACTAGCGGATGATATTTACGTCACACTTTTATGATTTTAATAATTTTATAGCAATATTTTTAGCGATGACATATAAAATAAAACGTCTTAAAAAAGTGTAGGCATATCATAAATAGGTTAGTTTATATTATTTATAAGAAAAACCATATAAAATAAAAAATACATATGAAAACTGGGCCGCACAGAGAAAATTTGGGTTCTATATTAAAAATTAAAATGTTTTCATCCTTTTTTATTACTATAATATCGGTATAAGACAAACTCCATATTACATTAGAACTGGTTGAAATAACGTATAATTCTGGATATTGTTCATCAAATTACAGGAAAAATAAGCATAATATAATATTATTATTAAGCGAGATTACTTTTTCATGCTGTATTTTTAAACAGTATTAATATATGTTCTGCCATTTACCTACTTTAACAATTTATATTAGTGACCATTTATGCTGTACTTAACTTTTTTGGCTTACTAACCAGTCTTAGTAGTTAGTAATAAAAATTAAATACAATTTTCAGTTCTGGAAAATATAATCCGACCTGAGGCATCAGACTTACCATATGGAGTGGTGAACGATGATATAAAAATATGTAAAAGGAGTAGAACACTGGAAAAGAATGTAAAATTAAAATTATTTATTTTATTTAATATAACATGACGTCTTATATTTGTTATATTTCTATAATTGACATTTGTAGAGTACAATTCAAACTCCAGTAGTATGTCCGAGTGTAATAAAATTGGGAAAATTTGAAGTGGAGACTTGTTATTTATGTCCATTCCAGCAGGAGGAGAATGCTGAGAGATTAATATTTTGTGAATTTTGTTTAAAATACACTAAATGTCAATCGATATTAAAAAGACATAAGCGACACTGTAATTGGAAAACAACACCGGGCACAGAAATCTACCAAAGTGGAGATTTAAGCGTTTTTGAAGTAAATTAATTTTATGAAACTATTCATAAGAGATAAACTATACAATTGTTTATTTTTTTTTTTTTTCAAACAGGTTGATGAAAAAGTAGACAAAGCGTATTGCCAACAGTGGCGGAGACAGCATTTTAATACCAGGTTTGCCAGGCTGAGGCCCAAATTTTTTAGGGAGGGTCATATAAACATGATATATTCATGTATATGTACAAACAATAGTGATGACATGACAGGCCCTTGTGCAGAGAGGGGGTAAACCCCCATCGCTTCAATTTTTTTTACACTTGATCGTGTAAATTTACTAAAACAATGATTTGTAAACATATTGTGTTAATAGTATTTTTTCCTAACAAAATATATATTTTTTAATTTTTATACTCCCTAACCCAAAATTACATTCAATACTAAGTACACCATCAGGCATCAATTTTAGTGATATTGAGTCCCTTTAACTATTAAAAACATAAATAAAAATATTTTAAACTGACAATAAACATTATATGTTCCAATTCAAATAAACAATTCAATGAACATATTTTATTAAAAAAAACATATAAATATAATATTTTAAGATAAAATCAAAAACAACCATGTTTAAAGTTTAAATTGAACAATTAAAACCTCTTAATATCAATTATTTGTTTTTCTTAATACAGCAATAAAATACATAATAATATAACATAAACTGTATCGTTTAAATACATTTTCGAAGTAATTTTTGTAAAATATATGTCTGTGTGAAATCATTGTAAAAAAATTAATTTCTATTATTATCAGTAATTTCATCATATTATTTTATAATGTTACCGCTTAACAGCATGTCAAGCGTCTTGTTGTTGTTGTTGTTGTTGTTGTTATTGTTGGCAGTCATGTCGGTGCACATGACGAACGCAGCAACAAGTCTAGACGCACGCGGAACCGCAGTAAGGTTCAGTCTCGAGGAGGTCGTCGGCCCGGAGCGGACCTGGACATCAGTCGGGCGGCTTCACGTTATCTGTCGGACGACGGTCGAAGACGTTGTTGGAAAGGCCCGAAATTATTATGATCATGTCTTGTGTATTGCCAAAAAAATGGCCTCCACCCTCGTCCAACGCTCTACGGTGTTCGTCGCAAACTCCCGGAAGACGATACGGACTGCATCAGCCAGACTGCTCCACGTGATGCGTCGGACGACGGTGGACGACGTTGTTGTCAGAGCTCGAAAAATGGCCCCCTCCCTCCTAAGACGCTTGATGATCGTCGTCGCAGACACCCTGGAGGGCAAAATAATTTATGCCAGGCTGTTGCCGCGAATCTCTGGGCTGTACTGCGACGGCCATACGACCTTCAAGGTTTAAGGTTTATTCACGACGTCGAAAAAATCGTCAAGTGAGTGTTTTTTTCACAGTCGTTTTAAGTCAGTGTTTAGACAAATTTTAATATTCATTGAGAGTTAGGTACTTGCAACACATCGAGTGACCACATCGTTATAGGACGGAAGACCGTGTAGGTACTTAAATATAAACAAACAACAACCTCCGCTTAAATGAGGTGGGTAGTTCTTTTTTTTTGTCCTTATAACGCGTTCCGTAGGTACTATCTCCGAATAGGAGGTAGGTACCATACGTACGACTGTTTTTTGGGCGTTAAATAGATAATTTTTTCTATAGCAGTTGTAACGGGTTTCTTTAAATTTATTTTTATTGTTAGAAAACTTACATGTTTCTTTTTCATGGATAACTGTATTTTTGAAAGAACTGTTTAAGTGTTTATATACCTACAATTATTGTGGTATTTATGCATATGATACCAATCAGTTAATACATACTGTTTTTGAAATGTATTGTAGGTAATTTAATTAATTAGTAGAATTTGATATTACTCTCTTAGTTCTTACACATGTGCACGAACAGCAGCTAGTGTCTCAAATTATAGCCCGATTATTTAATATTAAAGTGATATACCTAGTACCTACACAAAAACGAGTTTTGGACAAAAGTTCATTAACTACCCTGTTAATTTTAAGTTTTAACTCTATGCCAGTAGATATGAAAATAAATATTTTCATTGATAATACTAACATCAATAAATTTATAAATTATATTTTGTTATAATTCATTGATTAAGTTTATGATTCAGTATTACAAAACCTATTAGGTAAAAGAATCAAGAAAAATTTGTATATTTCTTTTTTTTACTATCGTTTATTTAATTATGTAATTTAGTTAAATTATATTTGTACACTGTGACTCCGTAGATAGTTTATACTTTGTATCATTTTATGTTAACCAAATAATATAAAAATTAAAAAAAAAATAAACTTTACCTGAGCAAGGACTACCGTAAATTAATAATATGAGATTGTATGATGGCCATACCACTCATACGACTCATAACTATGATCTATATATCTTGGAAGTTGGATTATTTATTGTGAATTATAGAATATACATATACATCTATATAATTAATTATGTAGTTTTAAAAAAATATATGTATTAATCAAACAGGTAGTTTTACCTTATTACTTACCTATCGAAACCGTTCAAAATCTATTGGATGAAATAGGTAGCTGAAATATGTGCTTGAAAATACATCACAATAAATATTAAAGATTATAATATTATTATATGTTGGTACCAGGTACCTATACAACCTTTACGGATTATCGCATAATATCTATTATCCGTCTCGTTGTGTATTTATTTTTAAAGGCTCTGTCAAACAGAACGCATTATACGCACGTTAAAGTCGCTATTTTACGACACAAGTCGGCTTGGTGCTTTCACGCTAGTGAATAACGCGGCGTTGTAACAAATTACAAAATCACGCGGCGTGAAAATAACGCTTTCTGTTTGACAGAGCCTTTAACAAACAAATTGTTATTATTATTATGATTTATGAGTTATGACTATAGAGAAATATCTATTATTCGCATCATTATATTATCCACAGGCAGTTCTTGAGGGAAACAGGAATAGGTTGGGGCAAACTGGCAGCGAGCAGACTTCGCCGTTCGCCGGCCGTACGGCAAACGGTGCTGCAAGTGGTGCGGCCAGCGGACGACCATGCGTCAAATTCATTGACCAGTTGTGCATTTTACGACAGAGATACCCGGCCACATTTGTTGATGGTGCCATGGCGACCCGGGTGGCCCGTGCTGTTACCGGCGTCCTGGATGCCAGCGGTGGTCACCAGACGCTGTTCTACCCCGCGGCCGACAAGCGCACATCAGTTGCTGGATGACCAGACCATGCTGCCGCTCGTTACAGCTCGTTACAGGGACCCAAACGAATCAGTGGACGACCATGCGTCAAATGCGTTGACTAGTTGTGCATTTTACGACAGAGATACCCGGCCACATTTGTTGATGGTACCATGGCGACCCGGGTGGCCCGTGCTGTTACCGGCGTCCTGGATGCCAGCGGTGGTCACCAGACGCTGTTCTATACCGCGGCCGACTAGCGCACATCAGTTGCTCGACGACGATACCGTGGTGCCGCTCGTGATAGCTCTTAACAGAGGCCCAATCGAATCAGTGGACGACCATGGCCAAGTCCAGTTGGACCACGATCGGAAGACATCTTCGGACGTGTCCGACGTCACTTTTTTTTCGGTAATCGTTCTGACACCATTGGCCGTATTCTGGACGGCGGGCATGTAAATCGCTACCTCGAGACGTAAAGGGAACTCATATTTTGATGTAAGTACATACTACTACTATATAGCTCTCAGCAGCGCAACTTGGCGTAAATGCATCTTCACCAATTTTTGTTTTTTTTTTCAAATTTTTTTAAGTTATAATAGGGTTTCGTTGTTATTTATATATTTAATAGACCATAGAAACATTTTATTTTATAAATAATCCACGAATATTAAATCAGTAATAATAATAATAAGTATAGCGTACCGTAATAATATTATCATTCAAGAGTTAGACGCCTTTTGGATCGCTTCCACCAATACTGGCACTAACTCTCATAAACTGCCTTTAATGCATATTTCCCCACCATCTAACCTTTAAATTTTTTTGTGTAGTAAGAATTTCAAAGTTTGCAATATTACCAATGTTAGGTTAAATTCAAAGAACCAGATGCACTGATACTAGATTCTGTTGATGCTATTTCCTAGTAACAAACAGTTTGAGAATGTCTACTTGTATAATAATACTTTCATTAATCTATTTGATTAACTATCCAACGTACCTAAGAATTAATGGAAGGTATAATAATAAATAATACTAAATAAGTAACCTACTTTATCCCTCTGGATTTCTTCTCTTAACGTCCGTAGTATTTTCAAGAATTTGGATTGTGGTCCCATTTTTGGAATCAATCTAGCTACCATTGATTCTGTCAAGTCTAAAAAAGCCATTCTATCTATTTTTTCCTCTAAAATAATTGTAATAAGTAACAATAATATAAGGATTATAGTCATTAAAGTAAAAGATATATACCTGAAAATAGCTGTTGACGTTTAAACGTTGACGAACACTGGAATCGGAACACAGTAGCACTCAGTTACATACAGTCAACTGTAAAAGATTAAAGAAAATAACGAACGATTTCTGGTTGCAGAAATTAAAATCTAACAACTCGTTGTACAATTGTACATAAGTATCTACATAATCCTAAAAACGCTTCACGGTTCAACATTCTAATGTTGATTTTACAAAATTAAATATTTAAAATATTTTAACTACCTATAGTCTTTGTTAAATAAACCATAATATAAGTTGGTTTAACGCAAACATGGTTTATCAATAATCAAGCAAGTAATAATTATTCCAACTGATAGATATTGGTTATTATTATCATAAATATAGTTGTTCTAAAAATAATATACCAATGCTGTAATAATATAACAATATTAGAATAGTTATTTAAACAGACACACAATAGTTGTAATTATAATACATTTCTTTGATATAACAATATTATTTTTAACTATGAATAAATTGTAAGTTTAAATTTTCGTGTGGCTGTTTAATAACTGCATAATTGCAGTTAATAATATATTGATTTTCACATCTGGAATATTGACTGTTATTATTATTATAAAGATAAGTAAGCTGGGATTTTGATGAGATTTAATTTTTTTTATGGTGTTTTAAAAGCTCCTTAAGTGGAAAATGTGTATTAGCTTAGATAATAATATAATAATAATGTTGTGTTATTGACTGATTATTTTATAATGATGTTTTCATATTGAATTTTGTGGCAGGTCAATCGTCGCGAACTTGTTTGGCTATCTTTCTAAAAACCTCGTCGAACGTGCGGCATTACCGTGAGACTTCGTCCTGAATCAACGGCGAACGTGATTGGTCTGATGGAGTCATCAGCAACGGCTCACATGTGCGTTGGCCTGCGTTTCTGTATACCGGGTTGAATAACTCTGTGCTTGTTGCCGCCATCTTTTGACATTCGCATCCATCATCACGCCTCGTCCGTTCAACGCCAAGCCTGAACTTAAGTGTCACGGCCGTCCTGGAACGTCGAGCCTGCACTTGAGTGCTACTTGCGTATCCACGAGGTATTAACCAGAGCAGTCTGCCGATGGATATTTAACGTGATTGTGGTGTGCGAGCTTGTGGACCGGTAATCCGCCCTGTGCGTAACCCCCGTCCGTGTGTCCACAAGTCGTCACCCATCGCCACCCTTCGGTGGCTGTATAAAATGAATTTCGAACTTCGACAGTTGGAGATAAAATATTGTTATCAATATTCGTCTTATAAAATAATCATATTACATAGTTTTGATATTTTTTGTATTTATTCTCTTGGGTTATATATATAACTACATATTATTGTTGTATTTTTTTTTTACGGTACCTACTGAATACCTTATACCTTATACAAAATTTACGTTATTATCTAAGTGATGTTATACCTACATCCTTTATACTTTTACATTTTTATAACTCATTCAAATTATGTTTTTATTATTTACCTAATTATTCTTTGGGCATCCGTTTTTTTTTGTGTAACTGAATATCTATGTACCTCTACTGTTTATTTAATATTTATGTGTAATTAACTACACCCTTTATTCCTTATAATATTGTAAATTATCATATAATACATCTTGCTTAATATTTATTATAAATGTACATTACATTATTTTATATTCCTACATATAAATTTAGTAGTATATATTTGTATGTTCACAGCCAGCTTTTCCAGGGAAAAAAAAAAGTTCAAGGGGGGAATGTCCCCTTGGAGCACTCAGATTTACCGTGTAACAAATTTTACACTGTTTGACTACCAAATTTCGTCTCACACAAAAAATATTTAACATTTACCAATTTTTAAAACTAAAATAATTATTTCAAGAAAAAACACAAATTATTAAATCATAGTTTTTTTATTGTTACAAATAAATTCTTAATAATATTTACACAAGTTTTCTTACTTCTCTAGTAAAAGGTACATATTCTACAATACGATCATGAATTAAGAAACAGTAAGCAGTCACACCTGTGAACGATTCTGAAGCTTCAATTTCCAATTGAACATCCACTGCTGAGGCTGTGGCTGAATCGTTTTGTTTCGAAGTGTCGATAACTATAATTGGAGCGTTTGTCAGAAAAGTAGAAGGACTCAATATCGGGTTGCGAATACTTTTTTCATAGTACGATTCTTGAAACGATGTATACATATTATATAATAAGGTGAAGTTATTTTTAGTAAAATCTAAATTCAAATTATCGTATGGATAAGCTATAGAGTTCAGAAATACTTTAACGTTTGTTAAATTACAATGATCAAATATACTACAATCTTTTGTTAGCAAATTTTTGCGTCCTTTTTGTAATCCAATTATGATAAATCGTGGTTTTTCTAATTTTGAAGCAGTTTTCAAATTCCATACAACTTTTTTAGTGGTTCCGAGTTCAGGATATTCAAAAGTTTCAAAAGATCTAAAAGGGATAAATAGACTTTTTTCTTTTTCTATAAGTTTCAATAATTTCAACCTTTCTTCATCGTCGACCGTTATATGTGGAACCTTCCAGACTATTTTATTTAAGGTGATTTTACCTTCAGTAGCAGTTGCACCACTTTTAACTTGTAAAGCATTTAAATCACTATGACTTCGGGTTAATATTAATTCCAATCTAGAATTCACTAATATTCTTTTATAGTCTTCAAACAATCCTAACCAATATTTCAATGGTATGCAAGCACTAAATTCACCTTTTTCATTTTCCGATTGCGTTGCGTTTTTAAAATTCCAGCCAGCATTTTCATAACAATTGTAGTTATCTGGCGTACCGGATAAGTAACCTTTCAACGAGCTGGTGATTCCAAGAACACGTGTGCTATCTACTTCTATCCCATTGATTTCCAATCGTATTTGTTCGAAGAGGTAAGAGTAACCGTTATTAGATAGTTTCACTTTGGTAGCATCAGTAATTGTTCCTTCCAAAAAATAAAGCTTTCGTGTAGATATGGGTAGACATCCGTTTGCTGGATTGATATACGTATTTCATCATTATTATTAAATGATGTAGTATACGGTGTGTATGAATGATATTCAATTTTCGTAATTTTAGAATCCGTTTCGTACTGTGAAGTTATATCTAAAATATCACTCTCAGGCATTCTGCTTTAATTGATAACCCAGAGCTTGTAAAATTTTTTTATTTTTTTCCGTTAATTTTTTTATCTTATTTGATGTTGCTGGTAACACTTTAGTCTTATGACTAGTTGTGCTGATCCGAAGTAGCGGGTTTATATTGAATTTCAACCCCATCTCAAGACCCGTAACGTTTAATATGTAACACGATTGTCAATGGCTCACCAAAATTATCAATCGGATTATGATCTTGATCAACTAACTGAACGGTTATCGAATCAATATTTGTTTTATTCAATTTGTAATATATTAAATTTGGCGGTGCCTGAATTACTTTCGACCCTGTCTTTCCACTCGGAAAAAACTCATAAATCGAATGACTCTGAAGATGGTTGCTGAATGATCCTTGAGCTATATTACACATTACTTTTATAGAATTAATTGTGTTTAAATTTACAGCTTTTTCCGATCGAAGAATGTTGTATGGATTATATACTCGTTTTTCAAAACCGAATACAGGTGCTATACTAAATGGATATTCAAAGTGTAGTATCCCATTACATTTTATATACGATCTGAAATCATCAGGATCAACCGTAATGTCGAATGTTAAATTGGTTAAGTTTTTACTATTATAGGCAACTATTTGCTTCTTAACTCGATCCTTAATATCTTCAATTTCATAACAACCCTCTTCCAATGTAATAAAACATATCATAGGATTATTATTGTTTTCATTATCAACTACTTGTATAGACAATTTATTATTATTTTCATTAATATTTGGGAATGAATTAAATGACTGTAAACATAACAAAGCTATTTCTGAGTCATCGTAAAGGTTTATAGGTGGAACATAATTTACAGATAATACAGTTGAATTTCCAGTCAAACTTAATGTAATAGATTCATGCATTGTAAAAATTCAAGACATAAATGACCACAGTTAAATGTATTGAAGTCTTGATAGTTGGAATAGTTATATACTATTTTGAACTGTCTGAAATAATGTTGTAATTCAATTGGTGGGGGTAAATCACCAAAGCTATCAAAATATACAACTTTGTCCTTATTTTTATAAAACGCTACC